ATAATTCCCATTTGTTGACATTCTAATTTTATTCCATCTTTAATACAGCATCATATTATCAATTCCTACTCAGTCATATTTCTGTATTGTACTACTTACTTAAGAGCAGCTGATGGAAATTGCAGCGACAGTTGAGTGTGAACATTGGGGAAAAAAATACCCAGGGCGCTGATGCCTGTTCTTTCTAATCTGAAGTCTGCGATTAGGGCTTTGATTTTTGTCGTCAGCAAATATTAAATTGCATACTAATTTCATCCAAGAGTGGGAGTAAAAAGGGGCACAATTATTGTTGTGGTTAATTCTTGAATAAAAATATCAGTAATTAGTTGCTTTCATTGTAGTCATGTTTCTCATAAGTATACTGTGTAGACGAATAGTTCTCTTATGGAAGTGAATGTTTCCATGGATTCTAAATAGCCAGAAGTTAGGAGGAGTGTCTTAGTTACAATGTTACCCTTGTGTGGATACAAAATTAGAAGAGGTTAAAAATCCTTAATACAAATTTGAACAGCAGACATTGGTGCATGCTTTTCCCCTTGAGCGGCATCTCTTGCACATCTGAAAGCTCTTCTAGTTTGTTCTCTTGTATTTAAAAAAAAAAAAATAGAACAAATGGTTTTTAAGTTAGAAAGAAAATGTTTTGATCTGTATTATGCATTTTATTTGTTTAAAATTTGGTTCTAAACTTATTATAATAACTATTAGGAACACAGCAAAATTATGTCATTGTGTAAACTCTCTCCTAAGTAAAATATGAAAGAAATGTAGATTAAGCAAAAATAAATTTAATACTTAGCTTTTTAAGAGAATGATTAGAATGAAAATGTAAAAATTCTAAAAATTTTTTAAGAATTCTAAAAATTTTCTTTATTTCAATTATTATGCTATGAATTTATAAATACATTCTTTGGAGAAGTAGTTTTCAGAAGACAAACGTGCCTGTAGTTATATGGAATTTTACATAGTTGGCCAAATATTTAACTTAGTTTAATATTTAACCAATACTTTTTTCTATTATAGCAAGTTATAAAATCATATAATTTTTTAAAAATTTTAGCTTAATACTGTCAACAGCTTTATAGCTTAATATTCTTGTAAGAATTTTCATTTAAAATAGGATTAAATAAGTGATATTAGATAGCTATTTCATTCTGACACCATAAAATAAGTAGAACTTTATTTTACAAGATTTATTTAACAATCACAGAATTAATAGAAACACTTTATTACATTAGCACTGATATATTCAACAATAGTCTTCATGACAAAGATGTGTGTGTGTTTAGAAATAAGCTGTAATTTTGAAATTCACAACATTAAATTAATATGGCTGTACATTTAAAAAATAAATACAAACCCTATAATACATAAAAATGAAAAATAATTTTTAACCTTTTAAAAAAATGTCCACCATTTCATTTAAGAAGAGATTGTTCCATGCTAAAAAACTCAATTTTAATGCAAATATCCCTTCTTATGAGTTTGCCTTTGTTGCAAACATATCAAATCACTCATACTCAGAGTGCATTCTTTTTTAAAGAAATCTTTCTAAGCCAAATATGGATATAAATTCATTTAAAAAAATTTCAGGGATAAAAAGTATACATATTAGGGTGAAACAAAATTTTTAACTTCTTCCTCAAATATAACTCATTTTTTATTCCCAAACTTAAAGCCTGAGAAAAATCTGGGTTAATTATCAAAACAAGAAAATGATTCTTTACCTTGGTCCTGTAACAATCTGCACTAGATACCTTTAATTAATTTTTTCCCTTTATTAGATCTTAGTTATCTGGAGAAAATAGGAGTCTCTCTACTCATATATTCAGCACAAAGAATTTTAATTCTGATCTGCAATTTCATATTTCCATATAAATTTAAAGAAAGTGTGAAGAAATTTAACTATAGACTGACAGACTGAAAACTTTGGAACATTTGAGTCTTCGCTACCCTATAGAAATATAAGAAACTTACTCAAGGAGTCCTCAAAATCAAAGTCAGGTGGCCCCTTCAAAAGTACAATATGATGAGAGCTTTTAAATTTCACAGATTAAATGTTCCTAAGAGCTTAATGCTTTCACTGTTGATGGCGACTCTGCCATCTGGATATTGTAGCTGGCGTCTGCCTCTTTCTGGCAGCAGAGGGCGCTCTGGCATTGTTGACAGCGTATAAGTCCCTGGTGCACTGCGCCAGCATCTCCTTCCCAGGAAGGAAACGTACTATTTCCCTGGAGGGTTGTCATTGAGTATCTCAAAGGGTCAAGTTGTTCCTAAATTATTCCGAGAGGCTTTAATTTCAGACCACTAAATGAAAGTTGTGATTGTTAAAGGGCTTCCCTGGCATACTATGCTGAAGTTCTCCAACTGAGAAGCTTAAACTCTTACTGGAAAAAAATGCTGAGCATAGAATTTCATAGCAAATTGTCCATAGACATTAAACCGATGATTACTTTAAAAATAAATAGAAAGTAAAATAGTCTTAAAAATCTAGAACTATTATGGATTGATAGCCAATCTGGATTTAGTCGTTGTAACCAGAACACTAAATTGTGTGTTCTCTTATTTAAATGGCATTTTACCTTGTTTCATATGTATCTCATATCTATTTAAAAAGTAATTTTAAAACTTATTACGTTTTCTGGAGGACAAGCTTAGATTGTCCTAAACAGGAAGGATTGGAGTGAGGGGGATTAGATGTGTTTCCATTATGTAATATGAATTATACAACTAAGGCAGAAGTATTTTGCAACCTTGGACTCTTGTTGCTTCATGAAGTAACCAAGTGAATGTGGGTGCAGGAGATCCTTGCAGCTGCATGAATTCTGGAATGCAATAAGCTTCCATGATAACGTGTAATGCTTTAAACCCATTTCAGTTTCCAGTGACTATTCCTAACTGGCACGAGAGGAATGTTTCCTAACACTTTCCTTTTATTATTCGAGTAGCACCCCCTTTTTTTAAGTGTGTTTTATTCATTCCCTCCTAAATTATATAAAATGAAATATAAACAAGTCACCAATGGACATGAAAGACCTAACTCACAGAGTTCTAAAATCAGAGAATAAATAAAATCCACCTTAAGGGAAGGAAGTGAGACTATTCCCTGAGCATGTTGTGCTTCACAACTTTATTTTCAGATTCATCTGATGTATCTCCACCATTCAGGTGTAAAAGAATGAATCTGATGAAATATATGACCCATTTGTGGCCCACTTCTATATCTGGATCAAAACTGGTCTTGCTGTCTCTATTGCCAATCTGGATTGTTTTACCTAATTTTAACATCTTTTATGTTTGTGGATTTATAAACTAATGCAAGCAAATATGTAGCAATTTCTTTTGAGACCTCAGGCTGGCTACAAATTATTTGATTGCCTGTTTCTCCCTCTGTTTCTCTCTCCCCTCTTTGATTCATTATTTCGTTAAGATGTTTAAAGTTTTATTATTTACATTTAATGTTCTCAATATCTAAGACAATAAAATATGCTATGAGATTTAAAAATTTATTGAATATATGAATACTGACCCATACGACCCTCGACTCCTAAAGCGAATCTTCATTGCCTGCCATTTAGTAAGCCAACCTGCCCTTTTCCAACTGCCGGAGCTTTGAGGAGGAGGATGCTGTAGTCAGTTTTTCCGCAGTGCGGCTTTCAGGTCTTCTGGCCTGCAGTGCCTCCCGCCGGCCAGGAAGCGCTGAGCAAGCTCCTCACATCAGCGAGGTCTGCAAAGCTTGGAACTCTGGACCTGCCTAGGAAGTCTGCCCTGGTTGCCTGAGGCGGCAGGGGCTGCTGGATGGGCTCCCGCTTGGTTTCACCTAGTCAGTCCCCATCCCGTCCCTTCCTGGTAAATCTTGAGGTCCACAAGGATGTCGCGCATCCCTTCTCTGACCACACTGGCACTGCTTAGGTACACAGCTGAGGACCTTAAGTTTGTTGTTTTAAGGAAGATGACTTAAGAAATAAAAGAAAATGGAGCCTTCATTCTTCTCATTCTCCTTGCAAGTCCTGCCCATTGCTTAGATTCGGGTTTCAGTCTAAATAAGGTGAAACTGTTTCCCAATATACGTACATTAACTGCATTAACTACAGGAAGACCGAAAAGGGCCAGTCAAGTGTGGCAACAGCTAGAGTGGACTATTTTGGTAAAATATTACGTTTTGCTGTATGCGGTGTTTCTCTGCTTTTAATTTTCTTTTTCTTTTTTCAAATTACCTAATACTCTGTTATTCTTTGGGATGGGGGCGGGAGGGTCCTATTGCTGTTTGGTTACATTAGGGAGAGAAGGCCAAGGTCAGCACCGCGGACAGCACCAGGCGCGAAGGGCGCGGCCACTTTGGTGAATCCTCTCAGGCTCCTCTCCTTTGTTCCCTGCCCCTACAGGCCTCGGCAGAACAAAGACATCTATCAAGGCTCGCTTTCGTAGCCTGGGTTTGCTTTTGGCTCCAAGGTCGAAGTGCAGAACTACCACCTTAACAAAGTCCACTTCATTGGCTTCCAAATAAATTAATTTGCTGAGTCCTTCTAAACTTTCAGGCCTGGCCTTTTTCCCTTGTCCTACTCCTTTTACTGATTTGGCCATCGTGACTATGTCGATACAAGGAAATTATCCTGGCTTTCTAAAGCCGGGCAAGGCAGACTGGATACTAGGAGGAGAAAAGGAGGGGGGGCGGAATGGAGGACAGCGGTGGTAGTGGGGGAGGGTTCCCCGAAGGAGTTGAGACATTTGAGGTTTCTTATGCAATGTGATGAGGGCGCCATTTAACATTATTATCCTCTCTGTTGTTTTGTTTCCGCTGCTTGGCCCAGAATGCAACCATCCTACTTGATCTTTAAAGAACCACTGCTTTCTAAACAGTTCAACTCTAGAATATTTGCACGAACGGGAACTCCTGCTCTCTTGACCGCGGAAGCTCCTGTCACTGAAGTTCTCCTAAAATCTCTTTCGGGGATGCACCTGCAGATTTCCAAGGCTTTTGGTGAAAACTATGACCATTTTATTTTGGGAATGCTAGGATGGTTCTGGAATCAGTTTGAGGGTCTTTATGCGGCAAACGATGAGTTTGTTCTACTACCTCTCAAAACCCCTTGTGATTGCCTTTTCCTTTTTCTCGTCCTGAGACGCTCTGGTGTCCTTCAAGTGCAGCCATAGGCTCCGCTCTTGGCATTCACCGCGTGCCTTAATTGTATGACATTAAATCAAGGTCCGCTGTGAACACGGAGGGCAGAGTCTGATCTTGATCCGGCAAGTAACTGACCCACTGCGAATGCACCTCTTCTCCTCCTGCCCTTCCCCCTCCCCTGGGCTCTGAGTCCCTAGGACTCCCCCAGAGTCATAACTCATAAGCCCAGCTCCTGTCTCAGCTCGCCTCCTGCCACAGCTGCCAGAGCCGCTGCTAATTAGTCTGTTCGGTGGAAGTGTAGACGATGCATGTGTCTGCGTATACATATGCATATATCTGCATGCCATTTACAGCACACCTAAAAACATACATTCGCCTATAAATCTAGTTTTCAAATGACGGCGTGGATCAAAGTTAATTACCCCTCTGGTACAGATCTAATTTCGTAATCGTGTTATTTTCCTGAAGGCAATTAACCGAGTTGGTCCGCCCTGCATCTCTTCTAAGTCACTTGTAAGGAATGGCAGATTTTAAGGACCGCGCCATTGCACGTTCTGCTGCAGAAAGCTTTGTCAATCATTTCTTGCTGTCGGGAATGAGATCTAGCACATAGACGGAAAAAATAACCATGCGCGCGTGTGTGTAAGATAAACACGCAGATATGCCTAGTCTCTGTGTCCTGTGATAACGTTACCGCGGTTTCGGTTGGGAGATTTGGGGAAGAGATGAGAGTCCAAGGGCGGGCTGGGTCGTCTTTCTTTGTAATGCGGAAAAATTAACTCAACCGCACCTGCCTAGTCCCGAGAGAGCTGGGCGGCCCATCTGGTCTGGCTACAGCTTTGGTGCAGAGAGAAAAGCCAGCCCGCTAAGGCTTCCCCACTGCCGCGGAGCGCAGACCTCCGATCTGGGCCCGGCTGGGGGTTATGGCTCAGAACAGCGCAGCCGACGCGCTCTCCTCAGACTGCGGCAAGAGTCAGGAGGCTGGAGGAACCTGGGCCGGGCGGAGGGAGGGCGAGCAGGAGAGAGGAAGGGGTGAGGGGAGTTGACCTCTACGGGCGGAGCCCTCTGAGCAGCGGGCAGGAGCTGGCGGCGCAGCGGCTCTTTTCGCGGCGTCCCCTACGGCTCGGTCGGCCCAAGGGAAAGGCCCGCTCTGGCTCCGGCGTCCGAGGAAGGAAGGCTCCTCAGCCACCACGGTCCCTGGGCGGCGTAGATCCCAGCTGCGGCTGGAGAGAGCGCGGAGAGCCAGTCCAGCGCAGATTCCCCAGCACGCGCCCCTGAAAAACAGAATCACAGCGCAGAATTAGAGAGGGCGGCAGGAGGGGGAGGGGGACTTGGAGAGAGGCGAGCAGGAGGCGGGAGGGAACAGGCAGCGGGAGGGAGCAAGCGAGGGAGATGGGGGGGGGACGGGACCCCAGACGGCGGGGTAGGACCTCCGTCCCCAGGCTTCAGCCAAGCTCCGAGGGGCCCGCCGCGCGCGGAGCCCGGGGCGCGCAGCCCGGGGGGCGGCGCGGTGGCGGTGCGCGCAGGTCCCTGGCTGCGGAAGCCGGGAGGTGGGGGCCAGACGCTGCGGCACAGCAGCGGCCAGAGAAGAGACGTCGGGATCTGTAACTGTCAATATGCCTGCACAGAACATCCTCCTGCGCAGTCCAGCCGTTTCCGCATTCTGTGTCCCCTTTCCCCTTCCTCACCCCTTCCCTCACACCGCACTCTGCATCCACACTCTCCAATCTCCACCCCTTCTGGTCTTAGGACCCTGCAAACTGCAAGACCCTCGAGTCCCAGCAAGAAAAATCGAAAACGATCGATGAGAGAAAGAATTACATATACACATAACCCTAGAAATCCGAAGGAAAAAGACCTGCCAGCCCTGACCAAACCTGGAGAGAACCAAAGCGTTTTCAATCGCTGTAGAGAGCCTTCTCGGAGGAAAGAGGAGGCTGAGAGGCTTCCGTGGTTTAAGGTGCTTTAGGGTGGGAGGTGGGGGTGGGTGGGGGTGGGTCGGAGCGGTCCGGTCTTTCCCCCTCGCTTGCTGATCCAGAATTAGGGATTAATGGCTCGCTCCAGCCAAACAAATAAGGCATCTGCCTTCAGCACAAGAGGATTACACGGGCTGCTGACGTCACCAGTCAGACAGATGTTGGCTCCCAAAGTCCTGAGCAGCTCGCTGTGTCCTTGAAACCAAAGAGCCGCAGAAGGCGCTCAGCCCCCAAGAGCTGCGCCTGGGTACAGCAAAGGGCGAGTGTCCTGCCCTTGCCTACACCCCCTGGCGCCAACGTAATGGCCCAAAGACAGCCCCCCTAAGACGTCGTGCCCCCAATCTCTCTGGTCCTTCCTTACAGCCCGACCATCAATGCTCAGACTTGCTCAAGGCAAGCCAAAGTCACCATTTTTGGTTGCCTCTCCTTAAAATGGAGACAAGAGTCGACACCCCTTGGACATCTCATCTAGATCCCTAATTCTAAGCTCTTGGGCTCTTAGTCACTCACACATGTAGTTACTGGCCAAGTAACTACAAAATAAGCACCTTAGGCCGGACAGAGCCCACGCTCCAGATGAGGGGCGGCCTTTTAATTATGTGCGCAAGCAGCAGAAGCAGGGCTTATCTGCATCTCCTCTTCTCCCCCCACCGACATCCTGTCCCCAGGCCGAGGTTTAGGTTTATGCTTAATCTTATCACCAGTGCCATTCTGGACGACTGTACCTTTCTAAACAATGACCTGTTCTCAACCAAACTCTGTGTCCCAACCAGAGCCCGTGGGCCACCACTCAGTAAGCCACGGGGACCTCACCATGGTCCTGATCACTGCATTTTCTTTGCAAATACTTTGGAGATGGTTTTCAAAAACAAATAAACAAAAAGATATGTATGTGTGTGTGCATGTGCGTGTGTGTCTAAAACCTTTGTAGCATCTGATTTTAAGAATTTGTACATTCAGGTAACTGCAGTTTTAGTCTATAGACAAATCTAATTCCTAATTCATAAACCCTGAACTCTTTAATTTGATGTCATTTCAAAATTGGAATTTAGATATGAACTATTTTACTTTCTCAAACCTGCATATTATTTTTGCTTTATATGACTTCCCAGTCTTTTAGAAGTCACACTGAAGTCAGGTTATGAATAAGCCCAAAGAAAACAAAATTGGAAATTTAAAGGAGCAATTTTGAATGTGTTATGTAATTCATGAATGAAATGGTTTTAAGTGAAGTTCAATTTTGTAAAGAAATAAAGGAAATTCAAATAATGTGTGAAACAAAATAAATTGATCTCTGACACAGAGCGTCACTGAATCAATCCTGTGCCCCAAGTCAAACTGGTATGTATAAAAAAAAATCTGTAACTTTCTTGGAAAAAAATGTTTGCTCACAACATTGCACTATTGGTTATAGACTACAATGCCTAAAGCAGAGTAAAAGATGTAACTGGACTCTATCTCCATTCATATTATTCCTGTCTATCAAAGTGGCATTTAATTTTTTCCAATTTGATGCATTTAGAAATTCAGTCACTGATAAAAATCAACTTAATTTGCCTTAGTGTCATTCAGGTAATGCCAGCCTAAAATAGTAAAATTTCTTTATCTTCACTTTGCTTCAAGGCCTTTTAACAAACAGCCCACATCTTAAAGGGATGGATTTAAATTTGTTATTTACCATTAACAAAAGGTAGACCTCATCTCATTTTAATTGGGTAAAGAACACATACTATTTGAGACAGCATATATAAATCATTCTTTTTTTGTTTTTGAAACTTGGTAGAATAAGTTTCAAATTCCAAACTTTAAAGAAGTGTAATTCTTTCTAAAAATCAAAAACATTGTTTTGTCTACCCACACATTTGAATATAAACTCCCATTCTGCTGTCACAAAATTTTACTAGAGTCCTTTTTGCTCAGTGATTTAATATTAGTTCGCTGTCCATGGTCTTGATCCACATGAAGGGAGATGCCAGTGGTGCATTTTCAAAAATGTAAATCACAGTGCTTCTGCACCAATTTAATGCCATAACATTTAAAGATAATGCCAAAGGGGGGGGGGACATCTGTAGGCTTTGAGTTCTCTCCCCCATTCCAGTTGTTTTCATTTTTCCATACTTGCCACCAAATTGTGAGTACAGGAAGCAGATGGGAAAAGTTTGCATTTCATTATTTTTGAGCTGACAAAATCACCACTCTATTTAGGGGTCTGAAGAACTGTAGTAAATAGAAAATAGTATTTTTCAACTTGCATTTTTTTTTTTTCTCCCAGAAAGGTGAGAGACCTTGTCTGGGCTTCCTTGTTCACTTTTACAAATGGTTTAACAAGTGCAGAAATTTTTACAAAATGACAAATTGAGGGGGGAGAAAAGCCAAACAACCAACCTCTTCAACTCTATTTATAGATAGATACAGACATATCACACACATATAGGCAACACGGAGAGCATTAAATTAAATCCCTTCACTAACACACTGTATTTCTTTCTGTTGAAGCGAAAAAAGCATATGCTGTAGTAGTTAAGACTACTTAGCAAATTCCTTCTGTCCAAAATAACGTTTCACCTTCGTTTTAAAAAACAAAAGACTGACCTAGCAGAGGAACATTTAACCTCCCCTGGGGCTTCCTCCAGGGGGGTGAAAGAATAAAGAAAAAACTTTCCTCCTCTCTCCAAACATTTTATTGTCTTTCGACTTGTATTTTTCCCTTCAGATTATCAGGGAAAGTATATATATATATATATATATATATATATACACACACACACACACACACACATATATAGGTATACACACACACACACACACACACACACAAGCAGATGCTTATCTTCGGAATCCCTAAAAGCCGCTGCGGATCTTTGAAGGACACCGACCTGCGCAAACCGGTCATATTTTTGTTTTGATGGAAGTATCCCAACTGCAAGCAAACAGGCTCTTGCCTAAACTGAGGTCGGTACCCACGCCAGGCCATGGGGCCGAACTTCAGCGATTCGCACTTTTCCCGGCACGAGAAGACTACTTTCCGAAGAAGTATTTAGAACTTAGGAAAATCCTTGTACCGGAAGAAAATGGCCTAAACACAATAGGACTCGCCATTTTCTCCTTGCGAAGCACAAAGCGCTTGGCGCTGCCCGGCACACAAAGAAAGCGTGGGCCCGCGGAATTCTTGCACATTTTCAAGAGGCCAAAAAATACCTCTCCCAGAACCACAATTTCTCCCGCTTGGGCGCTGTGACACACACTCTGCCACCCTCACTCAGCCCTTGTCACAAGAAGATCCTTTATATGAGATGTAGCTAAAAGACCCACCAAAGGCGCGATGCTAGCTAGCAGCCAAACCCGGCCAGACTAAGTTCCGCAAGCCGAGGGGCCCGGCCAGCGGCCGCCCTGGACTCCATTCTAGGCCGGGGGTACTCGCATCCCCTCCCTCCTCCTCAGATCTCTCCTTCCAATTCCATCCCGTCTCCCCTGCACGTCTGGTAGTGCGGGAGTTTAGGGATCTTCATGACCTGATTTCTGTGCAGTGCCAGGAACCAACCTTGCAGCCCGGAGCCGGGCGGGAGGCTCTTAGGGATGCTCGCAACGCGGGAACCCCTCGACTCCGCGACTCCTGACGCCCCCCGCCCGCTGCCCCAAGTCTCTGCATCCAAGACTGCCAGTGCCTTGTTCTGCACACCCCAAACGGGCGAAACACTTCACTGGCTCACGTGCGGAAAGTGCAAGCTTCGAGGAAACCCCTGTGAATAAAAACACCGAAACACAACCCGCGCGCTCCGACTCACAAAGCGAACACTCCCAACCCAGCCAGCGAGGCAGAGCACGGCTAACGTAGGAAAAGATAGTACTTACAGCCGGTGCGCGTTTGGGTAATCCGCGTCTCAGCCCGTTTGATTTGTTTGTTAAAAAAAAAAATGTACACATCTCTATAGGTTTGATATTGCACATCTTCCACCGCTGAGAAGGAACGACAATAAAAATCTTGTAGCCTAGCGGGGATGGGGGAGGGGGATGGAGATTTTCATTGTCTACGCTCTGCACACGCAGCCCAAGGAAAGACGCTCATTGCCGAGTGGGGCTCCTTCTACTTTCTGCTTGAAATTCAGAAGCGTTCAACGCAGTGAAGCGGGGGTTTGGTCTCCCTCCCTGCCTCCCACCCTCTGCGTTCTCTTCTCTCTCTCCCTCCCTCTCCCTTCTCTCTCTCTTTCCCTCTCTCTCTCCTTCTTTTCTCTCGTGTCCCCTCCCTCTCTCTTCTCCAGCTCGAAGTCTCTCTCTCTCCCTCCCTCTCTCCCTCTCTCTCTCTCTCCCTCGCTTTTTTTTCAAAAGAGGGCAGGTCGCTTCCTGCATCCCAATGAGTTAAATCAGTCACTTACTTCTCATGCATCAGCAGCCTCTATAACAACCCGAGGGCTGGAGGCACAAAAGAGCATTTAGCTGCCTCCAATTTGTGTAGAAGGCCTGTCCTTAATTTGTTTTTGGAGTATAATTAAATCATGTATTTCACGTAATATGAAAATACCAAGTTCCCAACTTTAACGAATGAACCGCTAATGGAAACCTTTGAAAATATACCTCCCTTCTTGTTGGTGTCCTTAGAAAGGGCCTAGGACGCCCCAGAAACAGAGAGGCCAAGGGTTTGGGCCTAAATCTATCCGCCCCTCCCCCCTTCACACGTCAAGGTCACAGTCATATGATTCTCCCATTGCTTTAAAATGGAGCCTTTTTATCAACTCTTCGCCTTGGTAAGGAATTAAATCTCTTTGTGGTATGGGAAGATCTGAAGGATTAAATAAATAAATACATCCTTAGTATGAAATACACATGCAAGCAGAATCAACCGTGATCAGACGATATATGGTGGTAGGGGGTGTGGGAAGGCTGACATACCATGTGAGAGTGTGCGGTTTTCGTTCGCGCCCCCTCTCCGGCCCCCATCCCTGCCTGGCGAATTCTGAAGTCTCTGGGTTTTGCTAGGGTTTCTTCCGGAGGCTGTGTGGGCCTTACTGGGCGACAGGGCCAGCGCCTTTTTTTCCCCATTTTTTAAGCTCTTAAAGAGTCTTTGAGGGGTCCAGATCTCGAAGACGCTGCCCAGTGGTCAGGGGGGTCATGTGTATTGTTCCCCCTCCTCTAAAAGGGCTGGGTCACGGAGAGCAACTCTGCCTTCCCGCAGTTTCTCTTTCAGGAAAAACAACAACAACAACAACAACAAAAACAAAAAACACCCGGGACGGGCCATTGTTCTCCCTCAAAGAAGGGGGCAAGGGTGATAACAGAAAGACCTCCTCTTCCCCGCATTCGTCACCCACGTCCAGCTTCACTCCACCCAAAGCCACTGCTGGGGAGAAATTTGGGGATTTTTCTTGTTCCTGAGATCATGGGAGCCAATATCCCATTAATATCTTTGGTATCTTCCTTGTGTTTTCTGCAGCAATATTCCGTTAAGTAGTCAGGACCCCCAACTCCCCATTTTCTGGTTCTAACAGGGCTTGTTCAGAAACACTGCATTCAGATACTGGAGAGGTTAGGACTACAGAGAACCACATTTAGTTCTATCGAAAGAGAATGAAGCAGTATCACTTGCTACCTCCCGCCTCTAAATTCTGAATATTCGCTCTTATACGGTAAAGCACCCCGGGGTTCTGAAGCCATGTTTCACCTTGAACATTTATCAAACCGGACTCTGCCGCCACTGCTGCCGCAGGAGGACGTACAGGCCGCCAGCACCCAGCTGACATCTGCTTGAAAAATCCAACAATACCTCCAATGGGGTCGTTTGCAAAAAGTGAAAACCAAAAATGAAAGAGGGATTTTTAAAAAATAAAAGTACATATACATATGTATACTTGTGTGTGTTCCCCCAAAATGTTGGGTGTTCGGTCTTGAATGACCTAAAATAAACAACACCTCTGCAGTTAAGCCCAGACCGAAGGCCTCACTGAACCGGTGTTTTATTAGGGGCGAGAGATAAACGTTCTGTTAGGAAGCACTAGAAGGAATGCACATTGTCCCCCCTGCCCTTTATCTTTCGCCAGATAATACTCATTCTATCTGTTTCCAGTGTATTGACCTGGGATGTGGGACTGTTAAAGATCGGCAACGTCTTGCCAAAGCCTGAGGGAGGCAGGGTCACGCGGTGCGCACCGGTCGCGCTGCCGCGAAGCTGCTCCTCTATGCTCTGATTAGCCAGAAGGGTCTGCTCTGTTGGGTGACGACTTCAGACGACCCCAGGTGGGCCCTTAACACAGCAAATCCCCCACTCCCATCCTGGCTCTGGTAATGCCAGCTTTGCGACTTTCCTGGGTCCTGGAATTTCAGCGTTGCTGATGAGAAGGCCTTAGGAAGAAACCTAGGCGGCGGGTTCCTCTCCTGCCTATGGGCCGCTTCCGAGGTATATTCTAGGTCCAAACTGCAAAGAAAAACGCTAGAGAGGTCAGAAGCGAATGCTGGAACATTCACTGGGCCTTTTTACCCCTCCTCCCCCAACAGATGGCGGGACCAGGACACCTGCAAGGCAGCCGGCAGCCGCCGCCTCCGCGCAGCTCTCCGGACAGTGTCCATAGTGTCGGATCATATAAGGTCAACTAACATCCTGGGCCCAGTTCCCTCCTTCCCCCGCCCGAAAAACCTTTTTTCTGGACACCTTTCAGTCCATTCGGAGAACAGAGCTTCCGATCTCTCTGCCTCCCACCCTTGGCCCAGGAACCTGAGCGCACGACTACTTTCCAGCCTCGGGTTTTTTTCAGGTTTGCCAAGAGCGCAAATCTCCTCCTGCCTGCGTACCTCAGCGCCCGGGCTTGGAGCTTATGAAAATGTAACCCAACTCATTGCCAGAAGTTGTTGCTAATTAGTGGATAATAAACTTCTGTAGCCAGGGCACAAAAGTCTTTTAAAAGTGCAAAGGTGTTCTTTGTTATGGCATCAGAAAAGGGATTAGCATATCAATTGGACTAGGGGGACCGGACAATGAGCCCTCCTCCCCCTTCTCTGCCCTTAGTGTGCCGCCCGCCGCCGCCACCTCCTCCTCTTCTTTCTGCCCTTCCTCCTCTTCTTCCTCCGCTCGCGGCTCGGAGAGCTGTCAAAGAGCGGTTGGGGACTGCAGGGCCGCTGGCCGGGGACGCGCGGGCAGGCGCAGTGCAAGCTTCCCGCCGCTCACCAGGCGGCGCGGCCTGCGCGGCGCCCTCGCCCTCGCCCAGCGCCCAGGCACGCTCTCGGGGAAGGTGGAGACGCGCGGCAGGGCGTGCGGGGACGCGGAACCCGAGCACGGCGTGACGGGTGGCCTCGAGGGCGGGGACACGGCCTGTCCGGGGAGGGCGGCCTCGGGCGGGCCCACGCGCCGCCCCGTCCCAGCGCCCGCGGTTCGGGCTCCGCAAAATCGTGTCCCTCGCCTCTCCCAGGCCGCGCGAACCCCCAGCAGACTCTGCACTCCTTGGCAGTGGGGAGCCGCTCCCCACTCTCCTCCGGCCTTTCTCGGCCAACCCGATGACCTCCGACCCTGCACGCGTGCACGCTTCGGGCGAGTAGCGTGCGTTCCGGGCAAGCCGAGCCCTTCAGTCTCGAGGCAGCCTGGTCCCCGGGGGCTGTGGGTCCGCTCGGCCGGTCCCGGGCGGAGGTCCCCACCAACTGCCCGCTCGATGGTGGCTGGGGCGAGGCGACCGAACGGCCCAGGCCTCAGCAGGCCTGGCCAAGTCTCCGAGAGTCCTTGCCTGGCCCCGGCGCCCTCGCCCATCTTCCACCCGCCTCAAACTGGCCCTGAGGGAGCCGGCTCCCCGGGCCGACGGAAAATTGGAAAACCTTCCCCGCCCGGGTGCAGTAAAGCAAAGCAGAAGTAAGTCTCTCGGAGAGGGAGACGCGGCCCAGGCCTGCGGGGCCCGGGCTCCCACTCCCTCCGCCACCCCGCCCGGCTGGTCGGCCCCGGAGCGCACCAGGGCCGGGGCGCCGGGGCCGGCGGGGGCCGCCTCGGGCTCGGGGGAGGAGGAGCGGAGAGTGGCGCGGGAAGGGAGGCGAAGGGGGAGGCTAGCAGCGACGGCGCTCTTCGCTCGCCGGCGGCCAAGCGGGACCAGCCACTTGCTGGCCGGCCTTGAGGAGCCGCGGGCCGGGCGGCTCGCCTCTCCTCCCGAAGTCCCCGCAGACCCTGCAACCCCCGCGAGGAAACGTTTTCTTTTTCTTCTCCCCTCCCCCCTTTCCCCTCTCTCCCTGGAGGCAGCTTCCGTCCTCTAAATGCGTTTCAAAAAAAGGAAACCTCCGGGGCTCTCCTTTTCCCAACGTCTCGCCTCCTTCTAACAGGAGTGTTTGGCGACCAAGCACCAAACTCACACAAGTTTCCCCGAAAACGAACCGCTTTTACTGCCGTGAGGAAAAATGTCGGGGAAAAAAGTGGAGGTCGGTGTTTCCCTAAATGCAAAACATCAGAGAGGAGTCTAAAAAGAGCTTTACTTTCCCTGCGAAATCTCCATTGTTGCTTGGCAAACAATGGGAGCCTGGGCGACTGTGGGGCTGTGAGAATGAATAGGCGATCCGCGGGATGTGTGCGGGTCAGTGCTTGGGGTCCCGGGCCTAAAGCCCCTTTCTCAGCTTGCCACAATAAACCAGAGCAAGGTTTAGTCTTTACTGGGTCACCGGCCATCCTCTATTATTCAACACTTCACAACAAAAAACACTTATTAATCAGCGCTGACCAGAGGCCCCTTTTGAAACAAGAGAAGAGGGGAGAGAGGGGGGGAGAGAGAGAGGTGAAAAGAAGATTGAGAAGCCCCGGACAGAGCTTTCTAAAGCCAGAGCAACCATAGGGTACCTTCCTCCAGTGGCCAAAGTTTATTTGACACAACAAAGTTTCTAATCAGGCCACGGAGACCTGGATTTCTCATTTGCCTTACTCCCCTTCTCTTCCTCTGAAGATGTTGGAGACTTTGTTGCGAGGAAGGATGGCTTTAGGTCAAATTGCTAAGGCCTGATCTTAAAGATCTAATTGCTATTGGAAGAGAAGCCTGTTTCCCAGCTGGGCCTCCACTCTGGAGATGGTGCAAGGAAGACTGTCCAGCTCTGCCCTGGGCACCCCGCTGATGGATGAGGTGTCAGGCCAGTAGTCATGTGAGGACTGGTTTCCAAATGGTATGAGCAGTAGTCAAATGTGGTACTTATTGGTGATACTGAATGCAATCTGTAGATTTTCTACTTTAT